TAAATGGCGGCCATTTTAGAATTCTCCATTTGCCTCCAGTCATTCAACAGAGGCAGACCTGGCTGTATGCAGGGAGAGAGTTAGGGACACAGAAACGTTAGTTAGGGCCACAGAAACGTTACATAGGGCCACAGAAACGTTACTTAGGGACAGACAGAATTGTTACTGAGGGATACAGAATTGTTACTGAGGGCCACAGAAATGTTACTTAGGGCCACAGAACGTTACTTAGGGACACAGAATTGTTACTCAGGGACAGACAGAATTGTTACTGAGGGCTACAGAAACGTTACTTAGGGCCACAGAATTGTTACTGAGGGACACAGATTTGTTACTGAGGGCCACAGAATTGTTACTAAGGGCCACAGAAACGTTACTTAGGGATACAGAATTGTTACGCAGGGACAGAGAATTGTTACTGAGGGATACAGAATCGTTACTCAGGGACACAGAATTGTTACTGAGGGACACAGAATTGTTACTGAGGGACAGACACAGAATTGTTACTCAGGGACAGACACAGAATTGTTACTCAGGGACACAGAATCGTTGAATTAAAGAGTATGTCAGACAACATGCAGAGGAGTGGCAGAGGAGGCAATGTTTTAGGAGCGAGCAGACGTTGCAGCAGAGGAAGGGGTCGAGGCAGCACTATTCGCAGCCAGAGGCCAGTGCTCCCGGTGTCATCCAGCGGTCGTGTCTCCACCGACAACCCTGCCGTCATCGATTGGTTGGCTCGGTCGTCTTCCTCTTCCCAGGTCACCTCTGACACAGCCAATGGTCGGTGGGTACGTCAGACACAACCGTTAGTTGGCATGGCCCGGGACCAAGCCCACTGAAATCACGTGTCCTCTACCTGCCCCTGTCCTTTGGTGTTCCCTCACCAAGCGAAGTATCGCATGCTGTGGGCTCAGCCCCACTGTACAGTGAGGAAGAGCAAACAGAGGGCGGTCAGGAACGGGGGGAGACATCCACCTCTTCAGCAGCCAGGCGAAGAAGTAGTGGCGAGGAGAGTGGCTCGGTAGCCGGTCTAGAGACAGGTCTGTCTCCTGACCCACACGCAGCCGAGGGGGCTAGTAGTGAGGCGGAGACCCTAATTGATGATGATGAGGCTGATCGCACTTGGCAGCCTCGTCATCATCAGGCTATTGCTTCCGCATCATCAGGAGAAGAGGGTGGCAGCTTGGCAGCGAGCAAAACAGTCGTGGGTTGCCCAGGAGGCAGCAGGGTCGCAGCAGTGTCAGTGGAGGCAAACGGCCACGGAGTACAGCACCAGCTCCACTGCAGCCTACCACCACGGCCAGTAGTGGTGCCGGTGTGCACGGAGGAAGCAGCAGTCAGCCAGTGAGGAGTATCGGGGGCAAAGTTTCCTACTCGGCGGTGTGGCAATTTTTTGTCAAGCCGCCCGAGGAAGTAAACGTAGCCGTATGTCGACTATGTGGCCAGAAAGTCAAGCGTGGCCAGGGGGCCCATGTTGGGACTACAGCGTTGCGGCAGCATATGCAGCGTCGCCATTTGGTGGCCTGGGAAAACCGTGATAAAGATACGGCGGTTCTGCCCGCCCCAGCCCCCGCTCCATCACCCGCTCCGTTACTTGCTCCGTCACCCGACGTCAATCGCCCTCTATCAGCCAGTCAAGGCTCCAACACCTCTGCTGAGGGGAGTTGTCGCTTGTTGCCATCTTCTGCTCGTTCAGATGCTCCTTCTCCTGCTACTCCTCTTCACGGATTCCGTCAGCAGTCTTTCTTGGAATCCGTTTCCAAGAGACAACAGTTTGCGAGCACGCACCCGACGGTGCAAAAGCTGAACGTCCTCCTGTCCAAGTTGCTGGTGCTGCAGTCCCTCCCTTTCCAAGTGGTGGACTCAGCACCTTTCCGAGAAATGATGGCTTGTGCCGCGCCGCGGTGGAGAGTGCCAAGCCGTCATTTCTTCGCCAAAAAGGCAGTGCCAGCCCTGCATTCACATGTAGAAGAGATGGTGGGCCAGTCTCTTTGAGCATGTCGGTCTCTGCCAAAGTGCACGGCAGCGCCGACGTGTGGAGCTGTAACTACGGTCAGGGACAGTACATGTCATTTACGGCCCACTGGGTGAACGTGGTGCCGTCACAGCCGCACCAGCAACTTGGACAGGTCACGCCGCTTTTGCCTCCACGTTTGCACGTCCTTGGTCCACAAAAGATGTCCGCCTCTACCACCTCTTCTTCCGCCGTGTCCTCAGCCGCCACCCCCGTGCCAAGTCCCATTACCCGACCGGCATATCACATGTGCAGGGCGCAACGGTGTCACGCTGTGCTGCACCTGGTATGCCTTGGCGAACGTAGTCACACAGGGGAGGAACTTCTCAGTGTAATGAACAGAGAAATCGACAGATGGCTGTCTCCGCGCAAACTGAAAATCGGAACCATGTTGACCGACAACGGAAAGAACATGGTGTCTGCTCTGCGTCAAGGAAGGTTGTGCCATGCGCCATGCATGGCTCACGTGTTCAATCTGGTTGTCAAGCGGTTCCTAAAATCCACCATCCCACTGCAAGACATCCTTAAAATGTCACGTAAACTTTGCATGCATTTCAGCCATTCCTACACCGCAAAGCACACCCTCCTTGAGCTGCAGCGGCAGAACGGAATTCCACAGCATCGCCTGATCTGCGACGTTGCAACAAGGTGGAATTCAACCCTACACATGTTAGACCGCCTTTACGAACAGCGAAAGGCCATCACCGATTTCCTGATGTTACAAGCGGATAAAGGTACTCCCCTGTGTAACTTCGATGTCAGCCATTGGCAGCTCATGCGTGACACCTGCCGCTTGCTCAGGCCCTTTGAGGAGGCCACGCTATTCGTGAGTCGGCAGGACTATGGGATGAACGACGTCATTCCTCTGTTGCACGTCCTGGAACAAATGCTGTTAACAATGGCTGGTCAGGGTGCGGTAGACGTGGCGCACAGATCTCAACGCCACATGACCCCTGTGGGGGCAGGACAGGAAGAAGAGGAGGAGGTAGAGGAGGACATTTGTGCTCAGGAATTATTGAGTGAAATGGGTGGTTTTTCCACTCAGCGGACAGGAGTGGAGGAGCAGGAGCATCTGGTAGAGGAGGAGGAGGAGACAGAGGACCCAGACGCACCGTGGCAGTATGCTGTGGAGATGGAGGCAGGGAGTCCCTCGCATTCCTTGGCACAAATGGCCCATAGCATGCTCGCTTGCTTGCGTAGCGACAGCCGAATAATAACCATCAGACAGAGGGATGACTTTTGGCTGTCCACCTTGTTGGACCCTCGCTACCGTTCAAAAATGGTGGCCTTTTTCACACCTGCTGAGAGGGAGGCCAAAATAACGTACTATAAAAACCACCTATGTAGTCAGTTGGTCTCTGCCTTTGTGCGCCAACGTCCATCCTCAGACACTGTGGGCCCTGTGCGCTCGCGTTCCGCTGCCATGGCAGCAGGGGAGGGGTGGGGTGGTAGGAGCAGTGGTAGCTCCACCAGCAGCGGCTGCCTCAGTCTGCAGTCGATGATGAGTAGCTTTCTTCACCAGCGCAGTGAGGAAACTACTAACCAGCCCGCAGCAGCAGCAGCAGCAGCATCAGGTGGACCTGGAGCAGGACCTCAAACAACAGGCTTGGGCCTACTTGGACAGCACCCTGCCAACCGAGGTAGACAATCCCCTTGACTACTGGGCAACGAAACTTGACCTTTGGCCCCAACTAGCTGAATTTGCCCTTGAAAGGCTGTCATGCCCGGCCAGTAGCGTGGCATCGGAGCGCGTGTTTTAGTGCGGCAGGAGGTATTGTAACTCCGCGGAGGACACGACTGTCCACCCAAAGTGTGGAGAGACTCACGTTTGTGAAAATGAATCAGGCGTGGATTAGTCTGGATTTCAAACCACCAGTTCCTGACACAACTGACTAAATCCGCCATGAATCATGCCCCAAACATGTGCCACTTTCAGGTCTACTCACACTGCTGGTGTGTTCCATTTTTTGTCATAGGGTGCTGGCAGATTACGGGCCTCCCATAGCTGCTGCCAGGCCCCTAATCTGCCATGGGCCCCTATACCGCCTCCTCATGCTGCTGCCAAGTCCAGAGTCTCTCATGGGTCCCTGTACGGCCTCCCATTGCTGCTGTCTCCATCGCCACACTCTGCCATGTGCCACTTTCAGGTCTCCTCACACACTGCTGGTGTGTTCAATTTTTTGACATAGGGTGCTGGCAGATTACGGGCCTCCCATAGCTGCTGCCAGGCCCCTAATCTGCCATGGGCCCCTGTACCGCCTCCTCATGCTGCTGCCAGGTCCACAGTGTCTCATGCCATGTGCCACTTTCAGGTCTCCTCACACTGCTGGTGTGTTCAATTTTTTGACATAGGGTGCTGGCAGATTACGGGCCTCCCATAGCTGCTGCCAGGCCCCTAATCTGCCATGGGCCCTATACCGCCTCCTCATGCTGCTGCCAGGTCCAGAGTCTCTCATGGGTCCCTGTACGGCCTCCCATTGCTGCTGTCTCCATCGCCACACTCTGCCATGTGCCACTTTCAGGTCTCCTCACACACTGCTGGTGTGTTCCATTTTTTGTCATAGGGTGCTGGCAGATTAGGGGCCTCCCATAGCTGCTGCCAGGCCCCTAATCTGCCATGGGCCCCTGTACCGCCTCCTCATGCTGCTGCCTGCTGCCAGGTCCACTGCTGTCTCATCGCCACATGCCATGTGCCACTTTCAGGTCTCCTCACACTGCTGGTGGTGTTTCAATTTTTTGACATAGGGTGCTGGCAGATTACGGCCTCCCATAGCTGCTGCCAGGCCCCTAATCTGCCATGGGCCCCTGTACCGCCTCCTCATGCTGCTGCCAGGTCCACAGTGTCTCTGCCATGTGCCACTTTCAGGTCTCCTCACACACTGCTGGTGTGTTTCAATTTTTTGACATAGGGTGCTGGCAGATTACGACGGGCCTCCCATAGCTGCTGCCAGGCCCCTAATCTGCCATGGGCCCCTGTACCGCCTCCTCATGCTGCTGCCAGGTCCAGAGTCTCTCATGGGTCCCTGTACGGCCTCCCATTGCTGCTGTCTCCATCGCCACACTCTGCCATGTGCCACTTTCAGGTCTCCTCACACACTGCTGGTGTGTTGAATTTTTTGACATAGGGTGCTGGCAGATTACGGGCCTCCCATAGCTGCTGCCAGGCCCCTAATCTGCCATGGGCCCCTGTACCGCCTCCTCATGCTGCTGCTCCAGAGCCAGGTCCACAGTGTCTCATGCACTCTGCCATGTGCCACTTTCAGGTCTCCTCACACTGCTGGTGTGTTCCATTTTTTGTCATAGGGTGCTGGCAGATTACGGGCCTCCCATAGCTGCTGCCAGGCCCCTAATCTGCCATGGGCCCCTATACCACCTCCTCATGCTGCTGCCAGGTCCAGAGTCTCTCATGGGTCCCTGTACGGCCTCCCATTGCTGCTGTCTCCATCGCCACACACTCTGCCATGTGCCACTTTCAGGTCTCCTCACACACTGCTGGTGTGTTCATTTTTTGACATAGGGTGCTGGCAGATTACGGGCCTCCCATTGCTGCTGCCAGGCCCGTAATCTGCCATGGGCCCCCGTACCGGCTCCTCATGCTGTGACGTTGCAACAAGGTGGAATTCAACCCTACATATGTTAGACCGCCTTTACGAACAGCAAAAGGCCATCACAGATTTCCTGATGTTAAAAGCGGATAAAGGTACTCCCTGTGTAACTTAGATGTCAGCCATTGGCAGCTCATGCGTGACACCTGCGCTTGCTCAGGCCCTTTGAGGAGGCCACGCTATTCGTGAGTCGGCAGGACTATGGGATGATGAACGACGTCATTCCTCTGTTGCACGTCCTGGAACAAATGCTGTTAACAATGGCTGGTCAGGGTGCGGTAGACGTGGCGCACAGATCTCAACGCCACATGACCCCTGTGGGGGCAGGACAGGAAGAAGAGGAGGAGGTAGAGGAGGACATTGGTGCTCAGGAATTATTGAGTGAAATGGGTGGTTTTTCCACTCAGCGGACAGGAGTGGAGGAGCAGGAGCATCTGGTAGAGGAGGAGGAAGAGGAGACAGAGGACCCAGACGCACCGTGGCAGTATGCTGTGGAGATGGAGGCAGGGAGTCCCTCGCATTCCTTGGCACAAATGGCCCATAGCATGCTCGCTTGCTTGCGTAGCGACAGCCGAATAATAACCATCAGACAGAGGGATGACTTTTGGCTGTCCACCTTGTTGGACCCTCGCTACCGTTCAAAAATGGTGGCCTTTTTCACACCTGCTGAGAGGGAGGCCAAAATAACGTACTATAAAAACCACCTATGTAGTCAGTTGGTCTCTGCCTTTCTGCGCCAACGTCCATCCTCAGACACTGTGGGCCCTGTGCGCTCGCGTTCCGCTGCCATGGCAGCAGGGGAGGGGTGGGGTGGTAGGAGCAGTGGCAGCTCCACCAGCAGCGGCTGCCTCAGTCTGCAGTCGATGATGAGTAGCTTTCTTCACCAGCGCAGTGAGGAAACTACTAACCAGCGCAGCAGCAGCAGCAGCATCAGGTGGACCTGGAGCAGGACCTCAAACAACAGGCTTGGGCCTACTTGGACAGCACCCTGCCAACCGAGGTAGACAATCCCCTTGACTACTGGGCAACGAAACTTGACCTTTGGCCCCAACTAGCTGAATTTGCCCTTGAAAGGCTGTCATGCCCGGCCAGTAGCGTGGCATCGGAGCGCGTGTTTAGTGCGGCGGGAGGTATTGCAACTCCGCGGAGGACACGACTGTCCACCCAAAGTGTGGAGAGACTCGCGTTTGTGAAAATGAATCAGGCGTGGATTAGTCTGGATTTCAAACCACCAGTTCCTGACACAACTGACTAAATCCGCCATGAATCATGCCCCAAACATGTGCCACTTTCAGGTCTCCTCACACTGCTGGTGTGTTCCATTTTTTGTCATAGGGTGCTGGCAGATTACGGGCCTCCCATAGCTGCTGCCAGGCCCCTAATCTGCCATGGGCCCCAATACCGCCTCCTCATGCTGCTGCCAAGTCCAGAGTCTCTCATGGGTCCCTGTACGGCCTCCCATTGCTGCTGTCTCCATCGCCACACTCTGCCATGTGCCACTTTCAGGTCTCCTCACACTGCTGGTGTGTTCAATTTTTTGTCATAGGGTGCTGGCAGATTACGGGCCTCCCATAGCTGCTGCCAGGCCCCTAATCTACCATGGGCCCCCGTACCGACTCCTCATGCTGCTGCCAGGCCCTAATCTGCCATGGGCCCCCGTACCGACTCCTCATGCTGCTGCCAGGCCCGTAATCTGTCATGGGCCCCTGTACCGCCTCCTCATGCTGCTGCCAGGTCCAGAGTGTGTCATGGGTCCCTGTACGGCCTCCCATTGCTGCTGTCTCTATCGCCACACTCTGCCATGTGCCACTTTCAGGTCTCCTCACACTGCTGGTGGTTTCCATTTTTGTCATAGGGTGCTGTATGGCCTCCCATTGCTGCTGCCTCCACCGCCACACTGTGGCTCCACACTCTGGTTTTGGCCCCGTGACTGCCCAAATGAGTGAAGTGTGCGGTGATTCTAAGATCGACGGCACTCATCTGCATGTCATACTGACTGACAGTATTATTTCTCTTCCCCAGCAGACTCCAAGGGCATTTAAATTAAAGGTACAGTGTTCTGCACTAATATAAAGGCTCTCTGAAGCCTAGAAACACCCTTTTATAAGTTAAATTCGCAGCGAATATATTCGACTCGAATCAAAATTTTTCCACGAATTCTCCGAATCAGTCGAATCGAATTTTTGAATACTTCGCTCATCTCTAGTTCTGTCCACAGATTACGGGTTATTGGACTATGGTTACAATGGTCTTGGAGCAAGTACTCAATGTTACCCTTCCCCTAGACCCGCTACACTATCTTTTGGGGCTACCCTTTAGGGGTATTTCTAAGCAATCTAAGAGGTTGGGAATACATATTTTGATGGCTGCTAGACAGGTGATACAACGATTCTGGAAATCAGTCGATGCCCCCACACTAAATCATCTTTTAAGAGCAATCTCTGAATTCAGAGAAATGGAATATCTTACAGCTGTAGTGGGTGACTACTCAGGTCATTTTCGATCTATTTGGGAACCATGGGATCATTCTCCCTTTGGTAGAATTCCTTCGTCTCCCCTCTCCCCTCTTTATAGCCCCCCTCCCTTAAATAGCTCAACAATGTGCAGATTTATGTTGTCTTGTGTTTTTGTATTGTACAGTTTACCATGCTGTCTAATTATGTTCATATTTCTTTTGTTTCTGTTCTCTTTTATATTGATTGTGGATTTCTTTCACTGCAACATTCACACCTAAAGTACTGTTATAAATATGTTCTGAAAATATGGGTTTTGGCCTTTAATAAAAATTTACAATAATAAAAAAAAAAATATCGGCTCAACATTTTTCATTCAAATTTGATTTGAAGCAAATATCCGAAATTTAGTTAGGTACTAATATTTGTTCATACACTGTTTAAATATTTGTGTTTTCATCAGATAAAAAGAAGTTTTCAAAAAAATGAAATCCTCCATTATGGGACCAACAGAATGTTACATAAAATTATGGGTTAGTTATCATTATCACATGTACAAATTGTGGAACTACAAGATTATTAACACATATGTACTGCTGTACCCAAACACCTTCATGCTATTCATGAAATACATCTAAATTCTTTTATCAGAATTTATGGTGGCTACTTTATGCGATGTATAAAAATTAAATTAGTAGTCTATTACTATTACTAACATGAAACTAACCTGATTGAAGATACTTTCTTTTTGTATACCTTAAGGCACACATGCATAACAAATATGTTACAAGTACCATATATACTCGAGTATAAGCCGAGTTTTTCAGCACATTTTTTGTGCTGAAAAACGGCCCCCTCGGCTTATACTCGAGTCAACGTCTGCAGATGTCTAGCAGGGGGCGCTGCTTCTAAAGCAGCGGTTCTCAACCTGTGGGTCACGACCCCTTTGGGGGTCAAACAACACTTTCACAGGGGTCGCCTAAGACCATCGGAAAACACATATTTCCGATTGCCTTAGGAACCGAGACACCGCTCCTCTATCCGTCTCCAGGTGTGGGCGGGATTACATGCCGTCCCTGTCATCTGGACACACCACCGGGATCAATCCTCGCCGGTGATTGGCCGCCGGAACTGTAGCTCAGGAGAGGCACACAGGCGCCCAATCACCGGCGAGGAGGTGGAGCTTGGAGAGGAGGAGCCGAGCGGCACCGTGAAGATCGAGCGAGTGAAGAGGAGGAGAGCGGCCGGAGAAGGAAGACATCTGACCGGTAAGTATGTACCATGGGAGAGGGAGGGAGCGAGCGAGCCCAGGCTGGAGCAGGGGTCAGCAAGGTAAGTATCATTGGTGTCAGTGGGAGGAATAGTGCCCAATCATTGGTGTCACTAATACCAACGATGGGGCACTATTCCTCCCCCCACTGACACCTCCCCCCACTGACACCAACGATGGGGCACTATTCCTCCCCCACTGACACCAACGATGGAGCACTATTCCTCCCCCACTGACACCAACGATGGGGCACTATTCCTCCCCCCACTGACACCAACGATGGGGCACTATTCCTCCCCCCACTGACACCAACGATGGGGCACTATTCCTCCCCCCACTGACACCAACGATGGGGCACTATTCCTCCCCCCACTGACACCAACGATGGGGCACTATTCCTCCCCCCACTGACACCAACGATGGGGCACTATTCCTCCCCCCACTGACACCAACGATGGGGCACTATTCCTCCCCCCCACTGACACCAACGATGGGGCACTATTCCTCCCCCCACTGACACCAACGATGGGGCACTATTCCTCCCCCCACTGACACCACCGGCTTATACTCGAGTCAATAGTTTTTCCCAGTTTTTTGTGGTAAAATTAGGTACCTCGGCTTATATTCGGGTCGGCTTATACTCGAGTATATACGGTAACATAAAACATTGAAAGGTTCTAGGTTTTGAATTCAAATGATCCTACAATTTTTCATTCACCGAAAAAACTGACTGTTTCATTTTAGACACATCAATCTTCTTTAATAATAATGTTTATTCCGAATATGTGAAGTGTTCTAAATTGAGGAAAAATGTAAATCAAATTAATATTTGAATACCCTTTGGCTTCAATACAACATCATTTCTTTTAGGTACACTAAAACAAACAGTCATTTAAATCAGTAATAGTCAGCAAGTAATATTAACATTTCAAATTAATTTTCAAATTCAATTTAGAATTCAAATTCAATTCAAATTTGATTCAAATTCACATGAATCGTTATTTTGGACAAATTTCTTTTAATTATTTCTGAGTTGTTTAAATTCATTACTATTGTGATTCGGAAATTAAGATACATCCGAATCTCCCTCTCTCACATCTTCAACCTCTCCCTCTTTTCTGGCACCTTCCCCTCTCCTCTAAAGCATGCGCAGATCACTTCCATGCATAAAAAACCCTCACTGTACCCCACCAACCTGAACAACTTAAGACCCATCTCCCTGCTCCCATTTACCTCTAAACTCTAAACGCCTAGTCGCCTGAGCTCCTACCTCACTGACAACAACTTTCTTGACCCCCTACAATCCGGCTTTCGCTCACTACATTCCACTGACACTGCCCTACTAAAACTCACTAATGATTTACTAACTGCTAAAACCAATGGCCACTATTCCAAACTCGTACTACGTGACCTCTCTGAAGCTTTTGATACTGTTGACCATCCCCTCCTCCTAAAAAAACTCCATTCTCTTGGCCTCCAAGACTCTTATCTCTCCTGGTTCTCCTCCTACCTATTTCAGTGCTCCTTCAGTGTTACCTATAACTCTGCCTCCTCCTCTCCACTCCCTCTTTCTGTAGGGGTCTCTCAAGGTTCTATAAAAAGCAGCAAGTAAATAAGCGCAAGGTAGGGTTCAAGTAGCCAGCATGAAGGTAAACCTCAAATCCTTCATATAAATATATCCATAAATATGCAGCGCTATAAAATGATAATATTTTAAAATGGGATGTAAAACATACAATAAAACAAATGAATACTGAAGTGGTATTAATAAAATGATAAATTCACAAAGAAAGGCGCTAGGGGGCGCCAAAATTAACAGTAACGTGATCAACGTCCAGATATGACGCATAAAGTGCTAAAGTGATGTGATAAAAAAGTCCAAATATTATAAGCCTTGTAGTGATGATACGTGATTCCAGTGATAATATATGGATATTATATTGCACTAACCAGATAGCGCAGTAACTAGTGCATTTGAGTAATTCAGACCAACTCCTGGTTATCTGGATTTGGAAACCGAAACTCTGGGGGGTCATCTGGCACACCTCAGCATGAATATATCCAGCAACAGCCCGTAGGAATCACTCAAGTAGGTAACCATAAGAATACCAAGGGATATACCCTGAAGGTGGGGGGGGGGGGGGCTTGTAAAGAAACAAGCCAGAGAAAATACTTCCAATAGTGCAGTATCATTTAATAAGGTAGTAAATCCTATTTGGACTTTTTTTAGCACTTTATGCGTCATATCTGGACGTTGATCACGTTACTGTTAATTTTGGCGCTCCCTAACGCCTTTCTTTGTGAATTTTTATCATTTTATTAATACCAGTTCAGTATTCATTTGTTTTATTGTATGTTTTACATCCCATTTTAACATCTCTCAAGGTTCTGTCCTTGGACCCCTTCTCTTCTCCATCTACACATCTTCTACTCCTCTCATCACCCCTTCAATCTCCTCTTGCATCACTAACCTACTAAGTGACATATCAGCATGGATGTCACTCCACTTCCTCAAACTCAATCTTTCTAAAATTGAGCTCATAATATTCCTTCCAACCCATGCCCCCTCCGCTGACTTCTTCATCAAGACCAATAACACAACCATCAGTCCCTCCCCCTCATGCTAGGGTACTAAGTGTAATCCTGGACTACCATCTGTCCTTTCAGCCCCAAATCTAATCACTGTCCAAATCTTGTAGACTTCGCCTTTATAACATATCCAAGATATGCCCATTTTTAACCACTGAAACCACTAAGCAACTCATTCACTCCCTTGTTATCTCTTGCCTTGACTATTGTAACTCCCTCCCAATTGGCCTATCTAATCTCC